AGCGCGGCGAGATCCGCGGCGTGAAGGAGCACGGCGGCTCGGTGCGGGCCAGCGCCAGCAGCATCGAGCGCTTTTGCACCCGCAGCGCGCTGATGGCGTCCTCGGACGGGCTGCCGCGTCGGCGCAGGGACTTCGCGCGTTTGGATATCTTGGGGTGGAAGGTCGCTTCCTTGAAGGCGTCCTCCTCCAGAGCCGCCCGCAGGTGCTGGATCGCCTCCTCCTTTCGCTTGCTCAACGTGAGGCCTCTTTCGTAGATGCTCAGGCGATTCGGCCGCCCGGGGTTCTTCTCGAGCCGATCTGGCGGGTCTTGGAATGGCGACAACGGGGAGGGTGGGGTGCTGGCCACGGCGCTCGCGCCCGCCAGAGGCTGAGTTAAATCTATACTCGCATTGTCCAGAGCCGCAGGCGACCGCATCAAGTTTTCATCGCCCACTTCTTTAGACGATAGCGTCTCAGATCGCATGGCGTCCTCAACTTGCGAGGTGTGCATCATCCTCCAGCCTTGCATAGCATCTTCGCTTTTCGGTAGGACGTTTAGGGAATTGCAAAATAAATCGTCGGAAGCGGCGATGGGAATGGTCTTTTGGTGCCGCTCGGCTTGGTGAGAGGGCAGGTGGGTGAATTTCGCCTCCCCGGCAGCGCCGGCGTGTGTGAAGCCCTCGGATGACCGGGAGGCGGAGCGGTTCGGCAAATGAGTGAGATGGGCCCCGCGTTCAGACGACCCGTCCGAATCATAGCTTGCGCTCATTTTCTTTATACTCACTTCATCGTCATCGGAGGTTGAATCAAGAGTAAGAAACTTACGAATACTGATGGAGCCCGATACCGGTCGACGTCTATCCTCGGCGGGACTCAGCGTATAATCCGTTAATGTGGCTACTGCCATAATATCTATTTACCTTTATCACACGAGATTTCTTTGTGAGGGATTGGGATACACTTAATTTGAGATTTTTTATTCACGTATGAACATAGCGAGGGAAGGAAAGAGAGGAATGCAGATATAGACGTGCCCTTAAAAGACCATACCGTCGCCCTGGGCACCGACTTCTATGACCAAACGCCAGGTCGTTACGAATAGAAACACCTACACCTTTTTTAAAAATATAAAAGCCCACTGTACGAAACAAGTATAAAAACAATGAAATCTTATTTAGTATGGCGGACCTCCTATTTGCACTAGTTATTGGAATTTTCCATTTTTGTACGTCTCACAGTTTTCTTCCTCCTCTAATGAGGCAAGAGAAGTAAATAAACATTCTTTATACAACTCTGTAGTTCTATTTTTTATTAGGAGAAGCCAGATCAACAAGCACAGAGTTCGAATTAGGGGTTTCCAAATTGCCAGCCTCGACGAATGGCACATCCCCTGACGGTTGGGTCGTTTCCAACTTGCCAATCTCAACCCGTGGTATTTCCTCGGTCGGTATCGGGGAGGTATCCTCAGCGTGGGGCGAGACATTCGCGGTGATCCCGGGAATCGAACTTTCCCCATCCGGGATGCTTGTGGCCTCCCCGGGCATGCTCTCGCCCTCCTCCTCGTCCGTCCCAGCATTGTTGTTATAATGGTTGAGGTTCTCCGCGCGCTCGCGGGCCTCGCGCGCGGCCGTCTCCATCTCCGTGATCTTCCCCTCCAGCTCCTCCACCCGCTGCGCGAGGCGGTCGTTTTTGTTCACGAGCTGCTGCTTCTCCCCGCGAACCTTCGCGACGGCGACGGAGAGATCGGCACTTCGCTTCCGCTCGTTCGCCAGGGCCTCTTTGGCGTCTTTTAACTCCGCCGCGAGGCGCGGGGCCTCGTCTGTCGGGGCCTGCG